AGAGCGCCCCTGCCTGCACCCCACCCAAGCTGGGCTTGACACGGACAGGGTCTGCTCCAGCTGGGCCGGCAGGAAACAGCTCCAGTGCCCGCCCGTTAACCAAAATTGATGAGCCTCACCTGTTAAGAGTGAGGCTTACCAGTTAACTGGTTAACCATTCATGTCCACAGTGAGAACACCATGAGAAAAACTTTGGCGTGCTTCATTCTATCTTGAAAACCTGAAGGGGGATTCCCAAGATCTGGCCAGAGGCTTCACAGGACTTCCTGCAAGATATGGGAGCGCTTGCGCCTACTGAAAGACCATGAGAAACACGATACTTTAAGATCTGCTTGATGTGAGGACCCTTGCAGGTGTTCTTGTACCCATGATAGGTCTTACTGCTTCCTACAAATTGAGCATTACTGGAGGATCCTAAATGGAGTAATGCAATGGGGGGGGGGGGAGCATATTACAATACCATTCCACTTTACACACTACACTGGTCTTATAACTTTCCCATGAACAGAAACACAGTTGGAACCAAAATAATGCCTTGTGTAATACTACAGACATGATTGGAGATACACCAAGGATAAATTCAGATGTCTGTGTTTGCCAGGGGAATCATATGGCAGTTTATCAGCCCACAATGCGTAACACTAAGGGTGGCTATCCTTGTAACAGATCACCACACACATATTAATATTAGGAAGTACAGTCCAAGTACATGCTTTTCCTTTGCTCTTTTATCATGCATTGTAATGTCTAGAAATTGTTTTGCCTCAGAACTAAAATCACAATGACCAATATAGTATCATTACAAGTCGGCTGGCAAGCTCTCCTGAGAACTGGTGCTACATTAACACTGTCTGCCCTAGAAACCTGAGACTGGGAGCAAGAGACAACCACCAGCATAATCATTACCAAAGTCTAATTAGTCTGTACGTTCTGTGGGCAATGCGTTTATACACATAAGGCACTCAACCATCAGGAAAAACTACAGAAGCTGCGGGGTAGGTCTTTAAGCAATGGGCGACTCTTCCTGAACCCCCTGGAGAAATCCCTCCAGTAGCTGCTGCACTTTACTGAAGAACAGCCTCCTTTTTGACCTTACATGGATCTCTGATCTTTTGACCCTGCAGTAAATGGATCTTGTGATAGCCTGTGTGACATGTGAACCGCGTCCAATTGATGCAATGTTGTGAATCCAGTACTGGATACACTTAAACGTGTAACATATGAGCAGGAACTGGGGCCTGTTCTTACACTCCCTGGTACCAGTGGGAGTCTTGCCATAGGCTTCTGTGGGAATGGAATCGAGTCCTAAGTGTCCAGAAATACAGGTCCATTAATTGGGTAATGGGAAACACCCTGAAGCATTTACTCAACAGCAAGACTTGAAGTTATTTCAAGGAGAGTTTTGCTAAGTAAGCAGTAAGGATTTGGGGACAAACTATAGTTTGCATAGCACTTTTAAAGTTGCAGAGAGGTAGCCATCAGTGTTCCCTCTAATCTTTTCCATCCATGTGCAGAATGATTTTTTTCCTGCTCGCCAAGGCATGTGCAAATGTGCACCGAAACCCCTGCTGTGGGCTCTCTGCTCATCAGCCGGGCGGCATTTGAATCTCTCCTGAGTGGCCGCACAAGTACCCAGCTTACAGGAAACTCTGGTAGCCATGTTAATAGGTTTTAGCAAAAACAAGGAGGAATCCTATGGCACCTTAAAGACTAACAAATTTATTTGGGCATCAGCTTTCATGGGCTTTTATAGTGTAAGCATCATATATAGCTACCATGTATTAGTAGTGGTATAATGCCATTATTATTCACAATTATCAATTTCAACAGCATGCACCTCTGTAGTTACTTGACTTTCTGATCATTAATCTGTCTTGATCTGTCTAGTTACCATCCAGTACTGTAATACTGAGATTAAGTCACCTCAAAGTACTAGACCAACCACAAGGCAGAGCCATGTATATCTTTAAACACACCTGTAGGAGTCTCTGAAACTCATTGTGTCATGTCCTGAGTCTTCCTGGTCCTCTTCAGAAACTTTGAAACAAACCTTCTTAATCCCACCATGCTCAGCTTTGTCAGTGTCGCTCTCTTCGGCTCCCAAGGAAGGTGGGGATGTCTCCTCAGTGGGCAGAGAATCACATGTGCCAGTGGGTTCTGTTATGGTGGATAAAAGCCTACAAAGGTAAAACACATTGCTCTCAGTGACTGTGTGTAAACTTGTGAGCTATGCATTCGCTACTGTGATCTGAACCCAAGGGACACTGGGAATCAAAAGGAACATTTCTATAAGTTGAGTTAGCTATATATAGATGGGAACTACATAAAACTCAGTCTGATTCACTGGAGTTCATGCAAGTTTTGTTTTGTTTTAGTTCATGTGAACTCACAATAGATGAATTTTGCATTCATTCCAAACCTAAAGTACAACGTGAAACTTGGCAAAAACTGCCAAGTTCTGACTTGTTTAAGGTTCACATATCTAAGCAAACATTGCCTTTAACAATACTGAAAAGTAGGTGAGTTTTGGTTATGAGAGTTTTGCACAGGTCTAGATGAACCCCTCCCCTAACACAGTATTTGGGATTAAAAAAAAGACCGCAACACAGTGCTGTCGCAGTATGCTAGGAATAGGCACCCACCCAGTTTTTTGCAAAATACTGTGAGATTTTTAGGCGCATTTTGAAGTGTAATTATTTACTGAAATAAATTATTCTGCACAAACAGTCTCACTTCCATCAAGAGTGAAGAAATGTCCCCTTGTTTGCATCCTTTTTCCAGCTGGATTTTCTCTAGACACTAACTGGCACTCCAAAAACCACAAAGCATACACCATAAATCTGCCTTTTACTTGCCAATGGAGGAAGCCCTGTAGTCAGTATTTGCTAACACTTTCAGGAGATCTCTTCCTGCTCAGACAGGTCTAAAGCCTTGCAGATTTTCCTGCATGCCCTGAGTCCAACAAACTGTAATCACATTTATAAAGAGAATCCAATCCCTTTTACTTGACCTGTTAAGCTGACTTCAGTGCTGAAAGCCCAGAAAAAGAATAGAAAGCAAAGACTGAGCCCCTTCCACTGTTCATCTTAGAATAAGAAAACGTTATCCCCCATAACTCAAGTAGGGCAAGTATCCTAAGAGTCTATGAGCCTGACACACACTCACAACCACCACAGTCACCAGCTAAAATGCACAACTGGGACATAAGCACTGGCCTTTGTAACTGGTTCCAATCCTGCCATATTCCCCTTTCCTTCTTCATTCCAACATTCTCAGCCTCATTTGTTCCTTTCTTCTCCTGTTCCTATCTCTGCGCCTTCTCCCATCCAGCCCCTCTCCATGGAATGAACTAGTCTGCCAGGCTCTCCTATCTAAAATAGCTCCTGTCCTTGGGCTTCTCAGTCTGGCTTCTACTTTTTTGTCAGTCTTATAGACAAACTCTTCAAGGAAGGGATTTTCCCAGTGTCTGTGCCTAATACAGCACTTAGCCTACACTTGAAGCTTAACAAATACAGGAATCAGAAGCAGTATAGACAACCCTTCGGTCTAACACAGACTTCAATCCAGTAAGCGCAAAGAGCACCTACACCAGCTCATTAATAGTGCAACTGATATACGGGGTACGTCTAGACTACAGGCTTTTATCGACAGAGGCTTTGTCGACAGATACTGTCGACAAAGCTTCTGTCAATAAAGAGCATCTAGACTACATCCAGTTCTGTCGACAAAGTAAGCTGCTTTGTCGACATAGAGTGTAGATGCCAAGGACAGCGTAGATGCAATAACACCTTCTGTCTACAGAACTCTGTTGACAAAAGGCATTATTCCTCGTAGAATAGATGTTATGTTGACAGAACTTGGCGGTAGTGTAGACGCAGGTATAGTTTTGTCAACAAAAGTCCACTTTTGTCGACAAAACCCTGTTGTCTAGACACCCAGATATACAACCCTGCATATATGCGGAGAGTGGAGTGGATACCCATGCAGGACTCTTCTCTCCCTCTCCTGCCAGCTGCCAGGTGGGGGCAGGAATAGCAGGACAGGTCCCTATATTGCTAGTATGAAAAGGACACAACAAACTCTGTCCAAATCACCCTGAAGGAGGAGCTAAGTGCCAGCCCTGTCTGGGCCCTCTCTGTCCCCCACGCCTGGTGATGACTGATCTGTGGAGCCCTGCTGCCATGTCCCTGCTGCTCCTAACCCCCAGCCCCTGCTTTCGTGCTGCCTGCCTCTTTCCTGCACAAACTTGCCCCCTCCTCGCTCATCTGTGCTCCCTCCCCCATCCCTTCCCGATGATTTGCTGTGAGGACGCAAGTAAAATCCAGATTGCGGATCGGATGATGAGTTGAGCCTGGCAGATGCAGATGGGAGGCAGATCCACATTTTTGTATCCCCTCAGGGCTCTACAAATAGGCAGATGGATCTGCATTTGAGCAAGTCCAGCCTTCTCCATCCAGCAAAAGGCAGTGGCACATTGGGTGGGCACGCACACATTCGTGCTGATGGACACAGAACATATTTCTGTGGTTGCATATTTCCATTTTCTCAGACAGTGTGTCCCTTTTTTCAGGAAGTGCCATCAGCAGCACAAACACAAAACACACAGGGGTCTTTTACTCACTTATTTATCTGAATGACGTATTGCTTCATTTCCTTCACTGCTATCTCCAGCTTATTAAAGAGTTGAAGGTATGAGTCCTGTATCTCCCGGTCTTCTTGTTTCAGCAGAAAGCTGAGTCCCCTTTCCTCCTGGTTTGCTCCCCCATTCTGTTGGCCAAAGCTACCTTCATATTGTTCGTGTGGGCTGGGTTCTCCATCTTCTGGGCTTAGGCACCGCCATGATGGTGCAGCCATGGTGGTGATGCAATGCTGGGTGTACGAGACTGGATTCAAAGTACCTACTAAACATTGAAGGAAGGAGTTAGTGGGATTTTAGTGACTCTATGAACCATCTCTCGATACTTAGAGAAGTTTCTATGGAATTTACTAGGAATTAAACCAACAGGCTCATACAGAAATTTAAACAGGTGAGTCTATAGAAATTGCTTTAAAATCCTACAGTGTTTAATAGAGACTGTGTGCTTCCGTCTAGGAATTCTGAACCTTCTTTAAAGCACTATAGCAAAAATATAATTGTCTAGTTATTCTACAGGACTTCTCCATGCCCTGAAAACTGAACTTTTTGACATGGTTGTATTTCAGGATCACATCAAGTCATGTACTGCATTTTAAGAAAGATGTGGAGAAATTGCAGAGGGTCCAGAGAAGAGCAACAAGAATGATTAAAGGTCTAGAGAACATGACCTATGAAGAAAGGCTGAAAGAATTGGGTTTGTTTAGTTTAGAAAAGAGAAGATTGAGGAGGGACGTGACAGCAGTTTTCAGGTATATAAAAGGGTGTCATGAGGAGGAGGGAGAGAACTTGTTCATCTTGGCCTCTGAGGATAGAACAAGAAGCAATGGGCTTAAACTGCAGCAAGGGAGGTTTAGGTTTGACGTTAGGAAAAAGTTTCTGACAGTCAGGGTGGTTAAACACTGGAATAAATTGCCCAGGGAGGTTGTGGCATCTCCATCTGTGGAGATATTTAAGAGTAGGTTAGATAAATGTCTATTAGGGATGGTCTAGACAGTATTTGGTCCTGCCATGAGGGCAGGGGACTGGACTTGATGACCTCTCGAGGTCCCTTCCAGTCCTAGTATTCTATGGTTCTATGACTCTATGTAATTACATCACCCAAGTATAGCCCTGACCATATGGGAAGCGAAACACATTTTCAAAGTGTGATCGAATTTCAGATTGAGAGAAACCAGTTGGATTGGTCTGCATTATTATCCCAGCTGCAGATGGGAAAACTGACCCTAAAGAGAATGCCTCTCATTTTTAGTTTGAGGGGTAGCCGAGTTAGTCTGTAACTGGAAAAAAATTAAAAAACAACAAATAGTCTAGCAGCACAAGACGAACAATAATACCATCTACATGTTTTGTTTGTCTTTAAGGAGCTGCTAGACTATTTGTTGTTTTTTATTTTTTTCTTATTTTTAGGGAAAGGAAAGAATACATACAAAGAGCGGCAAGGAGAATATCCATAGCAGAGCTGGAATATGACTGGGACATTGTGACTAGTCCCTCCTACTCTCATGAAAAGTAGGGATATAAAAGGTTAACTGGTTGACCAGTTACCTGGTAAACTTCACTCTTAGGGTATGTCTACACTAGCCCCCTAGATTGACCTAGGGAGGCTAATGAGGCTGACCAAAATTGCAAATGAAGCATGGGATTTAAATATCCCATGCTTGATTTGCATGTTCCTGGCTGGTCGCCATTTTAGAAACTGACTAGCCTGAAGTAACTGTCCGCGTCTACACGCGGCAGTGAAATGGGATTCCGAAATAAAGGCCTAACTCGAATTAGCTGGTATTCCTCCTGCAATGAGGTTTACCAGCTAATTCGTGTTAGGGCTTTATTTTGGAATCCTGTTTCACTGCCGCGTGTAGATGCGGACAGTTACTTAGGATCCCAGCTGCAGATGGGAAAACTGACCCTAAAGAGAATGCCTCTCATTTTTAGTTTGAGGGGTAGCCGAGTTAGTCTGTAACTGGAAAAAAATTAAAAAACAACAAATAGTCTAGCAGCACAAGACGAACAATAATACCATCTACATGTTTTGTTTGTCTTTAAGGAGCTGCTAGACTATTTGTTGTTTTTTATTTTTTTCTTATTTTTAGGGAAAGGAAAGAATACATACAAAGAGCGGCAAGGAGAATATCCATAGCAGAGCTGGAATATGACTGGGACATTGTGACTAGTCCCTCCTACTCTCATGAAAAGTAGGGATATAAAAGGTTAACTGGTTGACCAGTTACCTGGTAAACTTCACTCTTAGGGTATGTCTACACTAGCCCCCTAGATTGACCTAGGGAGGCTAATGAGGCTGACCAAAATTGCAAATGAAGCATGGGATTTAAATATCCCATGCTTGATTTGCATGTTCCTGGCTGGTCGCCATTTTAGAAACTGACTAGCCTGAAGTAACTGTCCGCGTCTACACGCGGCAGTGAAATGGGATTCCGAAATAAAGGCCTAACTCGAATTAGCTGGTATTCCTCCTGCAATGAGGTTTACCAGCTAATTCGTGTTAGGGCTTTATTTTGGAATCCTGTTTCACTGCCGCGTGTAGATGCGGACAGTTACTTAGGACTAGTCAGTTTCTAAAATGGCGACCGGCCGAGAACATACAAATCAAGCATGGGATATTTAAATCCCTGGCTTCATTTGCAATTTTGGTCAGCCTCATTAGCCTCCCTAGATCAATCTAGGGGACTAGTGTAGACATACCCTTACTGGGTGATGCTTACTGGTAACTAGTCAACTAGTGGCCCAGCCAGACTGGAGCAGCACCCCCCAACTGCAGATGTGGGTGGGAGGCTGCTCTGGCCCAGCCAGGCCCACCACAGCATGATGCTGATGGAGGGCTGCTCCACGGTAAACTGGTGAAACCGTGTTTAACTGGTTAACTTTTTAAATTGACATTTTACATCCTGAATGAAAAGTGCCAGGGCCATTCTCCAGTACGTTGGATAGTCTAGATTTCCAGGGCTCCGAGTCCTCTTGTACACTCCTGTTACTAGACAATGAATGAGTTGGAAGTGTATTCTGAGAGGTACAACAGGGAAACATTGCAGCACAAGTATGTGCCTGGCAGGGAAACCCTAAGTGGCAGCCATGGCGGGAATTAGTTTAGTGGCAGCTTAGAGGGAATAGTACTGCCCTCTGATTGGCTACTTAAGGTTTCTAACCCGTGTTTATGATACAACTTCACATTATGGAATCACGTAGCCCCATCACTTTTTCTTCCACTCAATAAGTCAAAGCTTCTAAGTGGGAAGACCACCCCAGGGCATTTATTTGTGATGAGAAAACCACACTGCTTGGCTGTTAAAGCTGCTCAACAGTAAAATAACACAGTGCCTCGGGCACTTGGCATGGCCCCAACTGCCGGGCCTGCTGACACAAGGGGGAAAGGGGGCTGTTGCTCCAGGGCCTGGTATTCCAAAAAGACCTGAGGCTCATGGTTTCTACTATTGTGGCAGAGTCAAGAGCCCCAGGCCCTTTAAATCACTGCTGGGGTGCCGCGCTATCACTGTAGGTGGCTCTTAGGACTGGAAATGGGGGTGTGCCAGTACTGAAGGCAGGGGAACGCACTATAGCCCCATCAACGCCAAAGACCGTCTACCCTGGTCCTGCCCCTTCCACCTGAGGACCCGCCCCTTCTGGGAGTGAAACACAGAGTCATGCCCCCTCCAGCTTGGCCAGGTGCCCAATAAAGCTGTCAGCTCCCTTGATAACGGCACACTGTCTGTCATCTTACTATGAGCATTTTAAGGGAAAAAAGATATCTTCTCAAGGCAGCATTTCATTGGATCTGTCTTCATCTCACTGAGCAGCCAGAAATGCAACTAATCTTTTTACTTAGATAATATCACTGAAGCACTGGGAATTAATTAGCACCTTGTTCCGGATCAAGACCAATTATAGACGGTTTCCGTCCTATGCGAATGCTGAACGACCTTCCGGCTGAGGTAGTGTTTTTGGGGTATGACACCTCCATGAGGTTAATGTGGCAGTTGGTGGGGCAGAAATCCATGCTGTTGAAGGGGTGAAGCTCCATTGTGGCTTGTTTGAAGGCTGGGCTCACCTTCGTTTTGAGCTCATCTGCAAACTGGAAGGGGCAGGGGTAAAGCAAGTTTGTGAGATTTCATTTGTAAAAAATGATGCAACACAGCAGGCCCTCATTTTTCCCAGCCAGCCTCCCATTCCAATAGCCATCTCCTCTCTGTGAGCCTGGAGGATACTGTTTCAAAATATCACTGGAAAAAATGGCATTTGATTTAATTGAAAATTGTTTTATCTTAGGTTCAGATTTTAAATGTGTCAGATAACTGCAGCAAAACACACTTAGTTTGTGCATGCTGCTACACTAGGGCTACTCAACTGTGGAAGCCCCGGGGGCCACACTGATACTCACAGCACATGCTGAGGGCCACTACTGTGGTTGCATATATGTGCAAATGTATATGCAAATATATGCAAATAGCTTCTTTCACACTGATGGGCATGAATAAAAAAATTTAGGCAAGTCTATACAACACGCCAGCCCCATTCTGCTGATATTAATAAAATACAAAATGTACCCAATTTCCACCCATGTGACAGCACTTTTAATGAGTGCTGACAGTCCAGAAATTTAACTACTAAAACGCACATCAACAGAAAATCATTATATTGACTAATTTTTTGTTTTGGCTTCACAACAGTTCAGTAATTTAACTACTAAAACACGTATCAACCCAAACCGCACCGCGGGCCACAAACAAACGGCCTGTGGGCCACGTGTGGAGTAGCCCTGAGCTACACCATGTTTTCATTCAATCATAGTAACAGGTGCAAGCAACACAGACATCTGACAGCTCTTGTTACTGTTAGAGGAATTACCAGGTTGGGCCCTCCATTGGGATGGGCAGGATGGATTTGTCAGCAGAGGAGTCCAGGCAATGTAGCCTGTAGTCAGGACAGTGTAGCACATGCTCTGCAAACAGGTCCTCATCTCATAGAGTTTGCAATCTACGTAACTTCTAGTTCTGTGCTCAAACCAGTATGACACTTCTTTCTAAAGCCATTAATGAGGGAAAC